GAGATCATCTAATGCAGTGGTTCTCATAAGTGTGGTCCCTGGACCAACAGCCTCAGACTGACTGCAGCTTTAGAGACACAGGTCCTCGGGCCCCCACCCTGGGCATCAGAACTGTGGGTGCTGGGACACTCAGGTGAGAACCACTCTGACCCAGGCTTCTCTTTATGGGAGAAGACCGACGTGCCCGAAGCCCCACAGCTGGGAAGCAGCTCGATTCAGCTCTGTAACGAGGACCCATAGCTGTGGGGCCCTCCTCTGGCCTGAGGACCACCTTGACGCGGGCCTCTCGCTGTGGGGCAAGGTGGTGGGCCCCACGGTGACCACGAGGGAGGTGGGGCTGTCTGCGGTTGAGTCGTGGTTTAGTCGGGACGCAGAGGAGGGTCTGAGGCGGGGGCTGGGTGGGCGCCCTCAGTACGGAAGTGTGCGCTGAGAGCACGCAGGGTGCTGACTGCAGCGCTGCCTTCCGGGAGCAGCCGCGGGGTCCCCTCGGACCACAGTGAGGGTGTCTGAGCCCGGGCAAGCCGGGGCTCTGCAGAGACGCTCACCCCCAGGCCTGTGCAGGAGGCCCCGGGCTAATGGTGCCCACGGTCGTGTGTCCCACTTGGAGGCTGTGAGGCTTGAGCCCCAGCGGACAGCTCAGCACTGGACTCAGGGCGTGCTCTCTGGGGCCGGGCCCGGGGTGCTCAGGAGGCTGCCTGCCCCCCGAGGACAGTGGACACATGGGTCTTGGAGCCGCCCCTGGTGTCTGCGCGCAGCCTCCGCTGCGGCCCTGGCGGTAGTGACCCCGCCTGTGGTGCTGGGCCTTCTCCCCACCCGCCCATCCTTGGTGCTGTAGGAACAGGGGCCCGCGGGACACCTCACAGGGCGCAGTGTCCCCCAGGTAGACGCAGGGAGGCCTCCGCGCTCAGCCTGTCCTCTGCGCCCCCGCCCAGGTGTGGACATGATCAGCAAGATGCTGAAGATGCAGATGCTGGAGGACGAGGATGACCTGGCCTACGCAGAGACTGAGAAGAAGGCACGGCCCGACTCCTCGTCCGACGGGCGCCCCGCCTGGATGCGGACGCTGCACACCACCGCCTCCAACTGGCTGCAGCTCATCCCGCAGACGCTCAGCCACCTGAAGCGCACGGTGGAGAACATCAAGGTGCCGGCGCCCCGCCTCACGTTGGGGGCTCAGGGCGGTCCTCGCAGGGGGGGCCGGGCCGGTTGAGGTCAGTGCTGCCTCGGGGCGGCTGTGCGCCTGGGCCTGGCCAGAGGGCTCGGCTTGGAACGCCCGAGAGTGGAGGTGGTCAGTGACCCTCCAGGACGCAGGGGTGCTTCCCCCTCTTCACAGGGTGATCTGGAGCTGCTGTGGTCAGGCGCCCACAGCTTCACGCCAGGTCTGGTTCAAGGTCAAGTTCCGGCGATGCTGTGAACCCGGGCTCCCCAAGGCCAAGTTACTTCCGGTTCCCTTCCTCTTCCCTGACCCCCCTCCCTGCTCCACTCCAGCCTTCTGTTCTCTTCCAACGACCGTAGGATCCTCTGTTCCGATTCTTTGAGAGAGAAGTGAAGATGGGCGCCAAGTTGCTGCAGGACGTGCGCCAGGACCTTGCCGACGTCGTGCAGGTGTGCGAAGGCAGGAAGAAGCAGACCAACTACCTCCGCACACTCATCAACGAGCTGGTGAAAGGTGGGCCGCGGGGGGCTCCCGGGAGCTCCGCAGGGCAGCCCGGCATCGCCCCAGACCTCCCCTCCCCGGGGCCCACGCTCCCAGGACCTGGCTCCTGCTGCCTCACTGAGTATCTGCCAAGGCCTCGCCTCACCTCCCGCAGTCCCCAGAGTTCAGGAGCCAGGGCGAGCAGGGCAGGACCTCAGGCATCTCCTCCGGCTCGGGAGCCTGACCCGGCCGCACCGCCGGTGAGGGGGTGCCTGCAGCTGCGGTTCCTCGGGGCGGTCGTGCTCCCGCACTCACTCCCTCGGGGGTCGCACGCCCCGGGGGGCCCGCCGGCGCTCGGTTGGGGCCTGTGGGCGCTGACGCCGGCCGGGCCCTCCCTGCAGGGATCCTGCCTCGGAGCTGGTCGCACTACACGGTGCCCGCCGGCATGACCGTCATCCAGTGGGTCTCCGACTTCAGTGAGCGGGTCAAGCAGCTGCAGAGCATCTCACAGGCGGCCGCCTCCGGGGGCGCCAAGGAGCTGAAGGTGGGGGCGGCTGCCCAAGGCAGAGGCGGGCCTGGGCGGGGGCCCTCGGGCGCGGGCTGGCCCTCACGCCCCGCTCTCCCCGCAGAACATCCACGTGTGCCTGGGCGGGCTGTTTGTGCCCGAGGCCTACATCACCGCCACCCGGCAGTACGTGGCCCAGGCCAACAGCTGGTCCCTGGAGGAGCTCTGTCTGGAGGTGAACGTCACCACCTCCCAGAGCGCCACGCTGGACGCCTGCAGCTTCGGGGTCACCGGTGAGCGGGGGCGCCCTGTCCCCCACCTGCGGCTCAGCCACTGCCCCTCGCGGGCTGCCTGCTAGAGGTGCCCCCGGGGTGCTGACCGCCCCTCCCCACCCCCACAGGCCTGAAGCTCCAAGGGGCCACGTGCGGCAACAACAAGCTGTCGCTCTCCAACGCCATCTCCACCGTCCTGCCCCTGACGCAGCTGCGCTGGGTCAAGCAGACAAACGCAGAGAAGAAGGCTAACGTGGTGAGTGCCCCCTTCCCTCCTCTGGGCACTCGGGCTGTGTCCCTGCCGTGCCCCCCTGCCCCCAGGGGGACTCAGCACCGCTTCCTTCCTCGGGTGGAGCCCCTCCCCTCACACAGCCAGCACCCCCGCCTTCCTTGCAGGTGACGCTGCCCGTCTACCTGAACTTCACCCGCGCCGACCTCATCTTCACGGTCGACTTCGAAATTGCTACCAAGGAGGACCCACGCAGCTTCTACGAGCGCGGCGTGGCCGTCCTCTGCACCGAGTGAGGCTGCCTTTTCTAGTCCCCTTTGTGTAACAGTAAAATTAATATTTAATGTTTATTCATTATTGAAACGTACTGAAGGTTCATTGTTAAAAGTATATGGACTTGTCAAGGGAACGTCGGTGCGAGGCTGGAAGCTGCGGGAAGCGGAAAGAAGCCTGACGGTTGGGAGGTGGAGCTGGGAGGGACCCGGGGCCGCGGTTCTGAGGGCCGAGGCAGGGCTTGTTTTATGAAATAAAACACTAAGCATGACGCGGCTCCGGCCTCTCGTCTCGTCTCTGGCTCCTGGGGACACCTGGGACCCTGCGGCCTCCGGGGCCTCTGTCCCCACGGTCCTGGGGTGCTGGGTGCGGCCTCCTGTGGAACGGGTTCCCAGCGCGTTCGGAGCCCCAAGAGCTCCCGGCTGGCTGGGTGTTGGCACCAGCCCTGCGATAAAGACCTGCTCGTCCTGCCGGTGGGAAGCAAGCTGGGCTCTCGAGGAACACGGCACCACCTTTCTAGCCCTGCCCCCACCCCAGACGTCCTGGGGCTGCAGCGCCGGAGCCACTCACCTGGCCCTGGGCCGTGTGCTCTGGGGTCCCTCGGGGGGCCAAGCGCCGTCCAGAGCTGTTTGCTGAAAATGGCCCATTTTGAATGCTTTCCTCTGAGCCAACAAATAGGGCTTTTTAGCTTCTCTTCCGTCACCCAGAGCGTTTAGCAGTGCCCCAGTCTCTCACCCAGAAGCTGATACCACCGAGAAGAGCCCTTGGAAAGCCCGCTGCGGGCGCCGGGCCCCGCCTGATGCTCCCATGTCCACCCCGTTTACGGTGCAGGTCCCGACACAGGCCCACTGATGCCGGGCAGGGATTCCGGGCGCAGGAGGACTACCGTCCTCGATGGCCCGAAGGCCTGGCTGGGGAGGAGGGGCAGCTGCCAGGGGCAGGAGAAGCCACTGCACCCCCAGACCCTGGTGCCCAAGTGTCCTGGGGCGGGTTTAGGACACTGCAGGCCCAGGACCGAGCTCCCATCGGGGGTCCACGTGGACCCCACCAGGAGTCCCTGGGGCCCCTACTTGCTGCCTCCCAGCCTCACCCTGACGTGAGCTCCGTCCCCCTTGGACCCCACTTAGATCACTCCTCACCTGCCTTTGGGGCGGGTCAGGCTGGACAGTGGGCAGAGCTGGCAGAGAGGGGGTCCAGAAGGGGCCTGGGGGAGGGCAGACAGCACCTCCTGGGCACCGCCGCCCACCCAGTGCCCTGGAGGAGCCTCGGGGGCCCCCCTGGCCAGGAGGGACGAGACCACGCGCCTCACCTCAGTGGGCGCCCCTTTACGGGGAGCATGTGCTCATGGGCAGCGAACACAGCAAGGGGGGCGCCGATCCTCCCTGCCAGGAAGGTCCTAAAAGGCTCCGTGAGAAAAAGCACCTCCACACCCGGGTGTCACCCCACTGGGGCCACGATCGCAGGACCCCACGCTCAGCAGACCCCATCCCCGAGGGGAGACACAACCGGAGAAGCGGATGGGACGGCCCCGGGGCTGCTGGGAGAATCCCTCCTGCGGCCTTGCCTCCACCCCCCCTGAACGCCCCCCCGTGTTGCAGCTGTTCTCAGCGACCCCGGGAGCCGCGCCCTGCGGAGGCAGCCACACGCGTGCGTGCGTGCGTGCGTGCGGAGCTCTGGGGTAAACAGTCACAGCCAGGACGGACGGAGGCAGGCTAGGGGACCGCGGGCCCCAGCCTCCGCGTCAAGGTTTAAAAATACAAACGTATTTACTAAAAGTAAGGGAATTCTCTGCGACTCAGACAGGCAGGTGGGGCCTTTTCCTGAGCTGGAAACCCTCTCAGCGCAGCGGAGGGGCCCAGAGGTGTTATTTACAACATAAATGACTAACACCTGCATATTTACAACATAAATGACTAACACACCCGCATCATCTTGGACCATCAGTTCCCGAAGATACATTTCTGTTGTTTGAACCTTACAAGAAGACACAAAAGGAGCCACGTGTTTCATGGAAGCTCTTTTTTTATGCTCATCAACGTGTCGTCCTCACCTCCGAGGCCCTGGCCCTCGCCCCGCTCACCTGATCTAGGCCACATACTGCTTCTTTCGCTTACTCTTCGGCTCTGTGAGTAATAGTTCCAGTTTCCTCTTGGAGAGGGTGAGCTTGGGCCCCCTGTCCCTCTCGGTCCCGAGTCTAGGGGGCGGCCGTGACCCTCTGGCCCTGCCCTGGGGTCTGCCAGCCTCGGGGGACCCCCGGTCCTCCTCCATCATCCCCGCGTCCTCCAGGGGTCCAGGCAGCCGGGCCATCCGCCCCCGCGCCTCCAGGCCACCGGCCTCCGCAGGTTGCATGTCCACGTCGCTGCCCTCCGGTGCTGCTGGGGCCCAGCCAGTGGCCGTCAGGACCAGGAGTGGAAGGTTCGCCGAGAGGGGGTCTTCTGAGCTCACATCCCCTGGACCCCTGGACTTGAGTGTGTGCGGAGGCCCGTCACAGTTCGCGGCGCCCAGGGAGCAGCCGTTGAAATGACAGGAGGCGTGACTGCGGGCCTCTTCCCAGTCAGCGTCGTAAGGATCTAAAAGCTGACGACAGAAGGGTTTCTGAGCCAGCGAGCGGGGGAATCACAGAGAACACACGCCTTACACGCACACACAGCTTCTTCCGTCATGGACCTTGGCAAATTTTGCACGTTCTGCCCTGCAAATAAATCTTCAAAAATGCCTCTGACAAGGGCTTCCCTGGGGGCTCAGTTGATCAAGAAGCCGATTGCCAAGACAAGACGTGGGTTTGATCCCTGGTCCAGGAAGATTCACATGTCGAGCAGCAGCAAAACTAGGGCAGAAGACCCTGGGCCCTGAGGCCCAGGCTCCGCAACAGGAGAAACCACTGCAGTGAGACGCCCCCGCTCCCCACACCTGGAGAGAGCATGCATGCGGCAACGAAGACCCAGCACAGGCAAAAACATGTTTTAAATTATTTTAAATTATTATTCCCGGGTGGTCCAGTAGCCAAGACTCCGTGCTCCCAATGCAGGGGGCCCAGGTTCAATCCCTGGTCGGGAAACTAGATCCCGCATGCCACAACTAAGACCCAGGGCAGCCACATAAATAAATATTTGTTAACGCATTTGATAAATACCCCAGAGCCTCCTAAAAGCCCGAGGGTGCCCCACTATGGGGGTGTCCTGGCCCGAGCCCCACCGTTTAAAGCCCTTCTTCCAGCGCTGGCAGCCCCTGTCCACCACCTCAGTCTGAGCTCATTTTCCTGCTCTGAGCCCGGTGAGGGCCTGGCTCGGGCCGCCCCGCGCCCCCGACCGGCCTGCACAAGCAGGCTGTGCAGCCTCAGCGCCCACCCCCGACACCCTGGGCCACCCAAGGCGCCGGAGGTGCAAATGAGTCTCTAAAACATTCACTGTTTCCAAGGTGCCCGGGGTGGTTCTCGAAGGCCGGCCATGGGCCCCTCGGGGGCAGGCGACACCCCAGGGCAGCCAAACACCCCACCCCCCACCTCGACCACTGCCAACGGGGGCTGCAGAGCTTTCTGGACCCTCCTCACCCCACCTGGGGACCGAAAGGTCCTGTTCCTGCCCCGAGGCTCTGGCTGGACCGGTCTCTACGGAAAGCCCAGGTGCCCACGACCAGGGACCACCCCCTGCTGCACAGAGACCTTTTGAGACGGGCTCCACCCGCAAACCAGCAGGCTGATGCGCACAACTCGACCTGTGAGCACCTCCTCCCCACTGGCCCGCGGCCTCACTCACACGCACAGAGGGACCCCAGGCCGGAGTCAGCAGGGGACCCCCCTGGGGCCCTTTCCCTTGGGTGGTGACAACTCCCGAGAAAGCTCACTTGCTCTTTGGACAGCTGACATTCATTTATTCCAGAGGGAGAAAATGAACTCAAACACCGTAATCTACCAGCAGCTGTAACCACTGCAGATCCAGAAACTGGTCAGAATTGCTGGAATTCACAAAGCAGACACTCGCGCTTGTGACCCCACCCCCAGCAGAGCAGTGAGTGTCCCCGAGGCCCCAGCCCAGAGGCCCGCCCTGGGTGTGGAGTCAGGGGTGCTGATGAGGGCCTCATTTGGGCCTCATAAGCCCAGAGTCTTTCCTGGCAAACCAAGAAACGCCCGGCTAGGCCCTCCAGTCACTGGTTCGGGGTAGAAGGACTTAGCAGCTGCCTGCCCTGTTCTCCAGGGGCACCTGGTGTCTTAAACCACCTGGAGACCAGGGTTACCTACTACACCTGTGTGATCCATGAGAGTGAATTTAATTTGACTGAGATTCATTTTGAGATTGACTAATTGCAAACCCGTCATCTCGTCAATCTATCTTCCAGGTAAACTACCTGAAGCCTTTTGTTCTTACTTTTAAAAATTGGGAAGAGGAATGAACAACCAATGTAAATGTCACGGTGAACCTTTTTCTAAACTGTAGCCACACCACTGGGCTGGGCAGAGTTCTCGGAGCAGGCCCGAGACTGCCCTCCTGAAGAAGGTCTGCCTGCAAGGCTGCCCTCGGCCTGGCCTCTGGGAACTTGGACTTGAGGGGGCCCCCAACCGTCCCCAGAGACAGGAGCGGCTGCTGGCTGCCTTGTTCAGGGACATACCTCTCTCCAGATGCCTTCAACAAAGTCCAGGTGATTCTTCCTGTGACTGGCCTGGAAAAGCAAGGGGTTTGGGTCATCCTCTCTAAGAAGGAGGGCAGACAGCAGATTCAAGTTCAGGGGCAAGGATCCAGGGGCTCACTGCCCCGGCCAGCGGTCCTGCCCTGCCCTGCCCACACTCGTGGACAGTGGCCCGCGGTGGGTGCTGACGAGGAGAGCCCACTCCCAGGAAGCTGAGCACAGGCAGGGACCCCTTCAAGAGTGTGTTTGTAGGACTTAAGATGCAAACCTGGGCCGCTCAAGAGGGGAAAGCAGAACCAGGAATGCGACCGGGAGACGGCCAGGTGCAACCTCAGCAGCCAGGTTCAATCGCCCGCCATCGCACTGGGAAGGACCCCCGAGTCTACACAGCACCAGGCACGTGTGCTGGACCCAAAGCCAGAAGACGGTAAAAGGTTCTAGGTCATCCACCCCAAACCCTCCCTTTGTAGACACAGAAGCCGAGGCCCACACAGGGGCCAGGCCTTGCTCAGGATCCCTGGGAAGAACCCAAGGCTGGTATCCCATATTCCAGAACCTTCCCCTCTAACACCAGGCTACCGGTAAAAGCAACTCTTGTTCTTCATCAAAAGACAGACTCTTAAAGGACAGGAATTTGAACATCGCTAGTTGAAGAGAAGACCTGAGAAGCTGACACCAGGAACCGCAGAGAAGACTAATTCCGAGAAAGGGGGTGGGGCCCCGGCAAGGGCTCCTGCTCTCTCCTGGGGTGCCAGTCTGCCCTGGCCTCCAGCCCCCTCCACCCTCCCCACCGTGTGTCCCCGCCCCACCAAGAGGGGAGGGGTACCTTAAGGCGACGGAGCCTGTTTCTCTGCTTCTTCTGGAAGCCAGCCCTGGTGCTGGCCGTGAACGCGGCCCGGATGCAGCTGCGCTGGCCGTTCCGCGGGCCAGCCATGGCTCGGGGCCGGGGGCGGACCTTTCACTTAACTGCAGGGCATCAGGGACAAGGCACAGGTCAGTGATGGGAGGGGTGGGAGCGGGCTGACCACAGGGGCGTGGAGGGAACTTTCTGGAGCCCCGGAGCTGTGGGTCTCCACTAGGCTGATGCAGTCGTCACAAGTCAGGACTCTTTGCCCAAAGGGGTGACTGACTGTGAGTGATAGCTCAGCAAAACAAACCTAGGGAGTTTTCAAAAAGTTTTTTAACTAAAAGGAAAGCCACAGGCAGCTGGTGGCCTGGGAGGGCCGCACACGAGCAGCGCCTTTGTTCGGGGAGAGCCCCTTCACACCCAGACACCCAGTCGTGTAGAAGTCATGGGTGAAGTCACACGCCCTTGACACTGAAAGTTCTAGGCTGGAGCAGGGATGGGGGTCACGCATCCAGCTCCTGTGTCCTCCCCGCTTTGGTTTGTTTTTAACAGGTGAGAAAAATAAGTACAGATACTGTGCCCAAGGTGACAAACCCAGACAGCACTCCCCCCGCCCCCTCCCCGAGAAGCACTAGGTCGTCAAAAGCATTTGACAATTTTTTTAAAAACCATGCAGCCCAAGAAGAGCAGAAAAAACATCCACTGAAAACAAGACAGATCACGGTGCGACTTACTGAGAGGAGAGACCACACACCTCCGTGCTGTTTCATGTCATTTGCTTCCCTCCAGAATTCCCGGGGCCGGTGCCCTAGGCCCTGCAGGAAACAAGTCTGTTACAGACACACACCACCCGCCACCCAGGGCGCCACGCGTGGCCCACTCAGGAGTCCCCACACTGGACTCCCTGGAACACCAGTTCTGAGGCAGAAACAGCAAAAGCGACAAATCAGACCCTAAAGCACCATATGCATTAGCGTTTTATTTTTTTTAAGATGCTTACTTATTTTTATTGGTTTATTTTTTGCCCATGCCACATGGCTTGCGGGATCTTGGTTCCCCAACCAGGGATCGAACTGGACCCCCCTGCAACAGAAGTACAGACAGGGAAGCCCCCTCATTCTTTTTATTTTTAAATTTTTCTTTCTTTTTAAAAAGGCTGTGCTTGGTCGTCTTCGTTGCTACACGAGGGCTTTCTCTAGTTGCGACAAGCAGGGGCTGCTACTCCTTGTCACGCCCCGGCTTCTCATTGCCGTGGCTTCTCGGGGAGCTCGGGCTGTAGGGCGCACAGACTTCAGTAGCTGCAACACACGGGCTCAGCTGCCCCTTGGCACGTGGAATCCTCCCAGACCAGGATGGAACCCGTGTCCCCTGCCCTGGCGGGCAGATTCCTAACCTCTGTGCTACGGTACCAGGGAAGTCTGTCTATTCGCATTTTAAAGGCTGGAAAAGCTCCTGGTAAGATCCAAAAATCTTTTTTCTTTTTTGTATTAAGTCCATAAATTCCATAAATTGGGATATCATTAATTTTCCCCAAAGTCGTTTTTCTGTCCCAGGATCCCACCCAGGATGCCCCATCACATTTAGTTCATGTCTCCTGAGGCTCCTCTTGGCCGTGAGTGTCTCGGACGCCCCTGCCGTTGATGACCCTGACCATCCTGGTGGGCTGTCCCTCGGGGGGGATCCGCCCCTGCTCTCCCGAGCACACGCGGGGCCCGGGAGTGGGAGGACTGTTAGGGGAACACACTGATTGAAACCGCCCACCCTGGCCAGGCACCGTAGTAACCATTTGCATGAGTTGTTTTATGACAGGAGATCCTGATAAGGAATACGGAACTAGTAAGCCACCACCAGCCGGAAGAGTTCGGGAAAGGTCGAGAGGAGACCCTGCCTGTCCGTCCACTTCCCAGAATCCCTCTTGCTAGCATCCATCTTGGCTGAGCAATGCGTGCTCAGGAAAAGACTCTGAATTAGAATGATTGGCCAAAGACCACCTGGAAACCAGTCCCATCACCATAAAACTCAAGACTTCGAGCCACGCGGCAGAGCAGTTCTCCTGGGTTCCCTTACCCTCCTGCTCTTTCCCAATAAAATCTCTTGCTTGGTCAGCACGTGTCTCCTCAGACAATTCATTCCGAGTGTTAGACAAGAGCCCAGTTTCGGGCCCTGGAAGGGGTCCCCCTTCCTGCAACAGGACCACCGGAGGTGAGGCACCTTCTCCTGTCGAGGGCGTCACGGGAGCAGCCGTCACCCTGGCGTGTCCCATCCTGCTGAGGCCGCACCCCGCAGGCTTCCCTACCGGACAGGGACCTGGTCTCACCTCCCCCTCCATCCTGCCTTCTTTGGAAAGACATCCCTCTGTGCAGCACCCACTCACTTGCGGAGGGTTAGGCCAGCGCCCTCGGAGGGAAGCAGCTGCCTAAATTTCTTGACTGGGGTGATTTTTCTCCCACCTGTTGATTTGTTCATTGTTTGGCATCACCCACTCAATGGACAGGAGTCTGAGCCAACTGCAGGAGATGGTAAAGGACAGGGAAGTTCTGCGTGCTGCCATCCATGTGGTCGCAAAGAGTAGGACACGACTGAGCGACTGAACAACGATTGATTCATATCAGCACGGACTCATTTCATTCTATATTTGTCGTTCAGTTGCGTCCAGCTCTTTAAGACCCCATGGACTGCATCAGGCCCAGCTTCTCCATCCTTCACCTTCTCCCAGAGTTTGCTCAAGCTCATGTCCATTAAGTCGGTGATGCCATCCAACCAGCTCACCTGTTGCCTCCTTCTCCACCTGCCTTCAATCTTTCCCAGCATCAGGGTCTTTTCCAATCAGTCAGCTCTTCGCATCAGGTGGCCAAAGTATTGGAGCCTCAGCTTCAGCATCAGTCCTTCCAGTGAATATTCAGGGTTGATTTCCTTCAGGATTAAGTGGTTTCACCTCCAAGCTTCCCAGGGACTCTCAAGAGTATTGAGACTCTTCTGTACTTCAGTCAGTTCAGTTGTGTCTGACTCTTTGTGGCCCCATGTACTGCAGCACGCCAGGCCTCCCTGTCCATCACCAACTCCTGGAATTTGCTCAAACTCATGTCCATCGAGTCAGTGATGCCATTCAACCATCTCATCCTCTGTCATCTCCTTCTCCTCCCGCCTTCAATCTCTCCCAGCATCTATACTCGGGTTGTAATAAAGACTACATCATTTATTTTGTTCTGACTTTGGCTGGAACTTCAGTTGGCTCCTGTTGGCTTCAGCTGGGTTCTCTAACAGGACCAACCCAAATTAATTTTAATTTCCAAAAGAATACACCCTGTGACTTACTTAGGACTCTCTATGGGCTTCCCAGGTGGCACTGGGGGTGAAGAACCCGCCTGCCAATGAAGGAGACCTAAGAGATGTGAGTTTGATCCCCGGGTCGGGAAGATCCCCTGGAGGAGGACATGGTAACCCACTCCAGCATTCTTGCCTGGGGAGTCTCATGGACAGAGGAGCCTGGCGGGCTGCAGTCCATGGGGTCACAAAGAGTCAGAGTGCTCTCTAGGCCAAGGTGAAACAGGAGGGAGGGAGCAGGGCACAACCTTTGAAAGAATGACATTGCCTGAGGGTATAACAGAAACTGATTAGAATCAAATAGAATCAATTCAGCTCCCACTAGACCTTGATCCTCGGTGCCTGCTCAAGCTAGATGACACACCCAGAGATGCCAGGACGGTTCCAAGTCCGACCCGTCAAAGACCAAAAAGTGGGTGGCCTAGTTCCTGGAAACCTCTGCCCCTTCCCCAGAATGGTTGGAATAATCCTCCCACTCATTAGCCTTGGGTAGCAGCTGGTCCTCGTGGCTGGGCTGTTTCCCTATACACACACACAGACACACACACACTATATGTCACCAGGGGCATGTCCTGGGCCCCAAGGTCTCAGGGCCGGCCCCCTACTCCCTGGCCCAGCAGCTTCTCCAGCAGAGCAAAGTCACAAATTCCTAACGCCCCAGGACTCTCCCCTCCACCCTCCCCCTCCCTGCACGCACCCACGGGTTACATTGAAAAGCCCTTATCATGCAGATCTACTGGAGAATTCTTTGACACCAAACCTATTATTATTGAAGCCACCGGGTCACACACACCCTGCAGTCCTTCCTGGCCACTCCTTCTGGAGTCAAGGTCAAAGTGGGCCTTGGGCAAGCCCCAGGCCCAATCCCCACCCTGCCCTCCCCGCTCCATCCGGAAGGGGGCTCTGCCCCAGGATCCCAGACCCATCACAGCTGCCGAGCAGCACCTCCGCTCCTGGGGCCTCTCTGCAGCCACCCTCCCCTCTTCCTGCCTCTGCTGAGAGACCACAATCTAACCCAGCTGATAACTCAGGGGGGCCCCCCTCCGGGAGATGTTCAAGGGCTTTCTCTCCAGACACTTCCTGAGGAAGAGTTAGAAGTGACCCTCTGTCTGAGAGCCAGCCACACAATCGCCACCTGCAAGTCCTGTCCAGGAAGCTCTCCCCCGACTGTCCCTGCCCAGCCGGCATCTGCCCGCTACACACACCTGTGTCTGCACACGCATACATGCACACACACCTGTGCCCACACACACAGGCCACTCCCCGCACCGTCCATCGCCAGCACCACTCCTCCGGGCCCTAACGCCCAGCCTGCTCTAGCGTCTCTAATAGGTTCTTCCAAATTGACTCGGCCAAGATCAAATGGCTGATCTTTCCCCCGAATGGCCCCACTGGGGTCCTCCCAGCTTGGTGAAGCTACAACCACCTTCCCTTTCTGCCCTCAATCTTTCCCAGCGTCAAGGTTTTTTTCCGGTGAGTCAGCTCTTCTCATCAGGTGGCCAAAGTACTGGAGCTTCAGCTTCAGCATCAGTCCTTCCAGTGAATAGTTGGAGTTGATGGACTGGTTGGATCTCCTTGCTTCCAAGGGACTCTCGAGAGTCTTCTCCAGCACCACAGTTCGAAAGCACCAGTTCTTGACAGAGACACCTTATCTCCTGCGAGCTCGTCGTCCGCACCTTCACTGCCAATCCTCTCGCTCACACGCAGGCTACACTTGTCTCCCTGGTCCTCATCTCTGACATTCTCTGTACCTTCCTTGTCTG